TCCCGGGACCTCATCGGTCAGGCCCCCGGCTCCCCCGATCCCGGGACCTCATCGGTCAGGCCCCCGGCAGCCTCGGAGGCAGAGGCCGAGCGTGACCCGCGGACGCCACCGAGGACAGGCCCCGGCCGCTCACCCGCTGCGCCTTCTCCCACAGCTGGTTCAGCTTCTCCATGCGGAACTCCTCCGTCCTCGGCGTCGGCTCGTTCTTCTCCCGCGAGTACTTGCCGCCATGGCCGGCGGCCGGCGCGGGTCCGAGGAGCAGCGGCAGCAGCAACAGTGGGAAGAGCGCGGCCAGCGGAGACGCCATCTTTCTCTGCGCCGAGGGCCGCGCGGGCTCTCGGGAGACGCCGCGGCCCCGCCCCGCCGCGCGGCCTTCTGGGGGTTGTAGTCCCTCCTGGCGCCGCCGGCCGAGGCGCCGCCGCCAGTGGACTACACGTCCCAGGAGGCTCTGCGGTGTCACCTGGCCGTTGCCAAGCAACCGTGCCGCGGCCTGGGGACGCCTGGGAGCACGGCGTTGGTGGGAAGGGATTGAAACAGGACAGCCCGTGTCTGGGCTGGAATCTGGAGCGCTGGGTGAGGGAGACTCAGTTGACGGGGTGCCTGGCCCCTGCTTCCTCCCCCTCCACGCCGCAGAAAGAGTGGAAAGATCAGAATTCAGGGCCTTGTCTGGCTGGAGACTTCGCAGGCTGCGTTTCCTCCAGTTACTCCCTGTTCGTCTTCGCAGTCCTGGACTTGGGCGAGGCGCCCAGAGGCGTCACGGCTGCTCTCACATAGGATCCATGCAAACCCCAAACCCCCGCTGAGGTCCAGGGAGGGATTGATCCGGGAGCGGAGGGTAGGGGGAAGCAGGGCCGGGCGACCCCAGCCCCGCGCATGCACAGAGCACCGCCCCTGCCCTGGGGGGTCTGCGCTGCACACACAGGTGTCTGCATTAGAGACCCCGCGTCCCTGTGCGCTTCTCCACCATCACTGCGTGCAGCGAGCAGATGGCAGCACAGCCAATCACGTGGGCGCTGGGTCAGAATGCTGGGGTGCTCTGAGGAGGCGGACCGGGAGCAGAGGGAAGGGGGAGGCGCATCGGTGGGGGCTTGAGGTACAGCCAAGGCAGGGAGGGGGACACACGCCGAGGGGCTGGGAGAAGGCGCAGGAAGGGCATCCACCAAGAATGTCTAAAATACATGCGTGTGTCAGCGTCCATGTCTGTGTGTGCGCGCGTGTGTCTGCGCTCAGGTGGAGAGGTTGTCTCCAAGTGGAGGGGCAATGAGGACCAGGGAGGGACTGGAGAAGCCTGGACACCACGCGGGAGTGGGCGGTAATCAAGATTTATTCACTTGTTAAACATGTTCTTACTGTGGTGAAAATGTGTACAACAAAGCATGCAGTTTATACACTTGCGATTCATTGATGCTGTTAATATTTCACAACCACGATCATCGTTCTCCTTTGGAGAACTATTCCAAGACCTGGAGCGCACTGCCCCCTGCCTTAGAGGTCGTACCCCTAACTGGATGACTACCAAGGTTTGATTTCAGGATACTGGCTTGTTTCAAACGTGTGTCATCATTCTACATCGGTCCTTTTCCGACTGACTTGACTTCATTCAGCATGATGTTTTCAGGATCGTGCGCTGGAACTTTGTTTCTCTTTCTAGCGGAATGAAAATTAGAACAGCCCCCCCCCCCCCCCCCCCCCCCCCCCCCCCCCCCCCCCGGTGCACATATCAGCAGTAGTTCACATAAGCAGTATGTATGCATAAGGAGTCCTGCTGGCCTTGTGCACTGTGTGCTGGGTTGCTAACCCAGAACATGTCAGTTCGAATCCGCCAGCCACTGCGTGGGAGGAAGATGAGGCAGCTCTTTCTGTTAAGATTCAAGGCTTTGGAAACCCGGTGGAGGGTCCCCAGGGGCTGGAATCAGCAGTAGGACTGGGGTGATGGATGGACATGTGCCACACCTGGTGACTTCATCTCTTGTTCATTTTGTTTGTTTCTACCTTTGGGCGGCTGTGAAAAGTGTTGCCGTTAGCACTGGCCTGTGTTCTTACATTTATATGACCATGTCCTGTGCTGACCCTCTCTGGGAACTGGTTCCTATGTGCATTAAGGGTCCAAAGGACAGGACCCATGGCACAGGGTCCGTGATAGAGGACACACAGGACAGGGCCCTCCGGACAGGATCTATGAGACAGGGCCCACAGGACAGGATCTATAGGACAGGGTTCAAGGGACAGGATCTACTGGACACAGTCCACAGACAGGGCTCACAGGACAGGGTCTACAGGACATGGTTCAAGGGACAGCACTCACAGGACAGGACCCAAGGGACAGGATCTACTGGACACAGTCCACAGACAGGGCCCACAGGACAGGGTCTACAGGACAGGGCCCATGGGCCAGGGTCTATGGGACAGGGCTCACAGCCGACTCCTGACACCTGGACGTTGGCCCACGTGCTGTCCCCACAGCCTGTGTCTGGCCTGGTGAGCTCCTGTTCTGTGTTGTCCAGTGGTTTCACTGTTCTAGGAACGGGGGCACCTGCAGTCCATCCCATCCAGAAGTGCAAGTGCCCGGCCCCTGGTGTGCTGGTAGTTAAGAGTGCACAGCCTGACAAAATGGGTGACCCTGAGGACACTATGCTGAGTGAAATATCTCAGTCACAAAAGGACAAATACTGCATAGTGCCACTATTGTAGAATAGGACTGACATGGGGGATGGGGGGAAATGAAGAAAAGAGGGGATAAATAATGTACACAGCATTGAAACAGATGAGGCTGAGAACTGTATAAAAGGAATATATGATAAGGTCTTATTGGCATGACAAGAGTCCAGAATAAGAGCTGCATAGTAAAGTGGTGGTGGTGGTGGAACTGCATAACAATGAAAGAACTTTTTTCCCCAAGGAAAAAAGCAAACTGGGTGGGGGGAGGGGGACAGGGGACAAGGAAGAAAATGTGGAACAATGAATGAGTGGAAATTCAAGTTCTTTATAAACTTTCATTAAAAAAATTTTTTTTGAAGTGTACAGCCTGGAGTGAGTTCGGTGATTGTTATGAATCATGACTCTGACTCCTAGCAACAGAGCAGCGACGTCCGCTGGAGTTTCCGAGGCTGTAATCTTACGGGATCTGGCAGCCAGCTTTCATCCCAGTCACACCTCAGATGCCCGTGGGCCCTTCTCTTCTGCCGGATTCTGTCACATGAGGTGGAGTCACCAGGGGTGGACTGGCCTCTGTGCACACAGCAATGGCAACAGCAACAGCCACGTCTCTGACCACACTGCCTTGGGTGGGTTGGGATCACAGACCTTTCTGTTTACAGCGAGCATTAACCATTGCACTGCAGGGGTTTTCAGTGCACTGGCTGTTGTGAGGTGCCCTCCAGGCAGGTCCAGCTCACAGTGACCCCTCATAGGACCAGGTGGAACGCTGGCCTGCACCACCCTGACAGTCTCACGGATCTATGCCCATTCTCGCAGCCACTGTGTCTATCATTGCACTAAAGGGCTGTGTCTTTTCCCCTGACTCTCTACTTTAGCTCTGGTGGCCTAGTTGTAAGGTGCTACACTGCCACCCCAAAGGCACACAGTTCAAATCCACCAGCTGCTCTGTGGGAGAAAGATGGGCAATCTCCTCCCATGCGCTTTACTACCTCTGAAAACCACTGGAGGATAAGTCCGTTCTGATTCTATGGTGCACAACAACAACTTTCCAAGCACCTTATCCTTCTCCAGGGACTTGTCCCCAGACATGTAGAGGGCCACAGGATTTGTCTTCATGTCTCAGAGTCAATGTTCTTGATCAGAAGGAGGCTGTCCTGCAGGTAGGGATGTGAGGACCCACCTCCTCCATCTTTAACCCCCAGCTTTGAGACGGTTTCTGCCGGCACAGAGTCTGGGGGCTGAGGGACTCATGAGTAGGGTCCAGAGGTTCAGTCCAGCTCAGTCCCCACTGCCCAGAACCAGCCGCATGACCACACCTTGTTGCTACAAGGGAGCCTGGGAAACACCAGGGGCTTGATCCTGGTGGGAGCTGGAGTTTGGGCACCTCTCGCTGAGCCAGGCTGAGGGGGAGGGTCTGTGTCTTCAATTTCCTGACTCAACACGACCATTATCCAGGCCGTCCCTGGTGCCTTGAGCCACAGGGGCCCATGCTGGGTACCGTCTAGTCTGGGGTGAGAGTCTCCTGTACATCTCATCATTCACTCCCTGCCCTCGTGTCAGAACTCACAGATGACCTTTGGAGGCTGTCAGTCACCTGAGAATTCGTTGGAGAAGATCGTGTGGATTGCCAAGGAACTAACAGTTACTCAGGTCTCTGGGAAAGTAAGTGCAGCCGGCGTGCTCCTTGAAGGCATGGAGGAAAAGCTTCAGCTCACATCCTCGGGCCCATCAGTGGGAGAAGTTCCTATTAGGAGGGGACCTCATGCTTGGGAAGGTGGAGGGGAGCAAAGGGGAGGGAGCCCGTCAGCCGGGGGGGGGAGGTTAACACAGTGACTGCAGCTGTGGGTCTGAGGGTGTCGGTGACTGTGATGCTGGCACAGGACAGGACAGGGCTCAGCTCTGTAGCTCATAGGGTCACCAGGGCTCAGTCCTGCTAGATTTGACGGCACCTCACAACAACAACAGCAACGTGGCCTGAGAGGAGATCGGCCATCCTTCTCCTGTGGACGTGCTGGTGAATTTGCACAGATTGAGCTTAGCAGGGCAATTTTCTCATCTCATTTTGTGCTTGTTAGTGACCCTGTCGTATCGTTGTTGTTGATACGTACACAACCATCAGGCTGGCGCTATACCAGAGCTCATCCCTCGTTTTCAGAGGCAGTAAATAACTTGGTGGAGACTGCCCAGCCTTCTCCTGCGGAGCGGCTGGTGGGTTTGAACTGTGTGCCTTTGGGATTGTAGTCCAGCTTCTTGGCACTAGGCCACCAGAGCTCCCCGTCCTTGTCTTTTCGTTGATAGAGTTGTTGTGTGCTGTTTACCAACTCACAGCTGACTCTCCAGTGGGTTTTCAGAGGCGGCAAACTGCATGGGAGGAGACGGTCCATGCTTCTCCCATGGAGCAGCTGGTGGATTTGAACTGTGTGCCTTTGGGATTGTGGCTCAGCTCCCTAGCACTAGGCCCCCAGAGCTCCATCTCGTCAGTTGTGTTGTTTGTTTCATGCAGTGTTGCGGCACCTCCTTCCCTGCTGGCAACGTGCTCAGGGAATTGGAGACGGCCTTCCTCTGTCCCCGGGTTTGGGCAGAGCTCAACAACAGTCAGTCTGAGAGCAGAGCCTTCCCAGGCTCCTAGATCATGAAATGAGGAGTCCGCAGACCCGGAGGCCCGTCACTGTCTCTTATCGCTCATCCTTATGTCACAGACTGAGACGTCGAGGCCACAAGACGACCCCTGGAAGGTCCAGCGACTACAGAGCATCTCACCTGAGATGCGTCCTGAAAAGCCCATCCTCAATCCCACAACGAAGGGTGTCCCTTCAGAATGTAACCCTGGAGATGGAAATAG